TCATTCGGGACAAACTTTCATAGCCCCTAGTGGGACCCCATACGAGCTGTGGTGATGGCATTAGTGCACAACCTCAATGTACTTGAATAACTTGGGTTCTCAAAAAGGTACATGGGCTTATAAAGGTTATCAAAAGTAATTGCATTGTTATAGTTATATGTTACCATATTATTATTGATTGCATTGAATTGCATATGACATGATTGAATGAATAGATTGCATGTTAATATTCATATGGAACACATTTTTATTATATTTATATGTCTCACTAAGTCTATGACTTAGCGTGTAAGCAATTTACACGTAGGTGCCAAGAATCAGGAAGAGCGGAAATAGGGGGCAAGAACAACAACACTGCTAGAAGATCAGATCAGAAGTAACTGATAAAGTATGTATTTTGTCGTGTATAGTATGTTGGCATGTAAATAAAGTGTCAGTTATGAATGCTCTGATCGATTTTGGTTGTTTTGGTCATTTTATGTAAATAAAATGCTTTGTGTAAATGAAAGTTTTAAATGTTTCGTGAATTTTGTCGAGAGTCAAATTTTGAAAAGTCAATGTGACACCTCAGACTCGTATTTGGGTTGGATACGGGTTGGGGGTGTTACATTTAAATGGTATCAGAGCTACGGTTTAGTCGATTCTCGGCATAAACTGGAGTCTAGAGTGTCCTATAAAGTATTCATGACAACAAAAGAGTGAAAACTTCTGATCTGATATAATAGTAAGTATGTTGTTTTGCTAATAGAACGATATGGTTATGTTCTTATAGATGTCCAGACATGGTAGCTCTAGAAGTGAAGCGGGAGATGATACGCCCGCTGAAAGTAGTAATTCACCTGCCCTTGCCAGGAAAGGTGAAGAACAAGCACCTTCTAAAGTGCCTGTAACTGATCAAGATGTGTTCTTTAGAACATTAGATGCGGTATTGACGCGTTTCCAACCTCCTGCTACTTCAACTCCAAGAATGAATGTTGCAAAGGAGTTGAAGGGTTTAGGAGCTCCAAAGTTTAAAGGTGAAGCCGAAGAAGGTCCTGTTGTTGCGGACCTTTGGCTTAATGATGTAAAAATTATGTTAGATGGTCTCCACTGTTCTAATGTAGAGAAGTTAGATGGAGTGGTCTCCTTGCTTCGTGGGCAAGCGAGAATCTGGTGGACAAACGTCACTATGAGAATGACAAATGACGAAGTGACCTGGTCCTTGTTCTTAAAAGAGTTCAAACACAAATATATAATGGACCAGTTTATCAGGAAAATGAAGCAAGAATTCTTGAACCTGAAGCAATTGGACCGCACTGTATATGAGTATGAGTGTGAATTTAATAAATTAAGTCACTTTGCAGCAGAGTTAGTGCCTACAGAGAAAGATGCTTGCGAGTGGTTTGTTGAGGGCTTACGCCCAAGTTTAAAAGAGATGTTGATAGTGTTGAACTTATCCTCATTTCAAGAGGTAGTAAATCGTGCTAAAGCTCTAGAGAGAGCTCAAAATGAAAGGTTTGGGAATCAAAGAACCCAACCATCTAAAAGAACTGGGGCTTCATCAAGTTTTGCACCACCTAAGAGAAGTAGAGATTTTGGTTCCCGATCTCAAGCACAATCAGAGTTGATGGCATCCGTTGCAAGAGATTCAAATCAGATGAGAGTTAGATAGACTCATTCTGTAGGGTCTGGTGATGGACGAGTACATCAGAGTCAAATTAGACAATGTGAAATTTATGGAAGAAGTCATAGTGGAACGTGTAGGGTAGTTACTGGAGCTTGTTTCCGATGTGGTTAAGTGGGACATTTCATGAGAGATTGTCCATTGGGGACAGAAGAACCAGTACAGTCAGAGCGATCTGCTTTGATGTCTCAAAGAGGAAGAGGTAGAAGTAAACTTGAATCCTCTACTCAACAGGAAATACACTCCACTGCTCTAGTGTATAATATTAATACCAATGAAGATTTTGATGATCCAGAGATGATAACAAATACCTTTTTATTATGTAATAGATACGTTATGATATTGATTGATCTGGACTTGCATATTCATATATTAGTAGTAAATTGATGTGAGAATTGAGAATTCAAATAGAAGTTATTTATTGTGATGTGGAAGTGAAAAATTTATTAGGGTACAGTGTTTGGATAAATAAGATATGTTGAGACTATTCCAGTAAAATTCAGAGAATTAAATTCTCTATTAATTTGATGGAATTTCTATTCAAATGATTTGAAGAAAGATTGGAAACTATAGAGTTAGAGGATCTCTATCGTTCTGAAATAAAGTAGTTTCTTTACTTCAGTGACAAGATAAGGTAAAAGGAATGGGTTTTATTAGGGGAATATTAAAAGAACAAGTGATGGATACTATCATTTTGGAGGAATTGGAAAATATGTACATCAGTAATCAGTTTATAAGACAACGGTAAATGGAATGTTTGAATGCGAACCAAGGAAATTGTATTATGGATAAGTGAGAATGAAGGTTTGATAAGTAAAGGAAATGGAGGATGAACTGTTTTTGATTGGGAAGAATGTATAGTATATGAATGGTTTGATGGTGGGGTATGTTTTTATTGGAAGAAATGAGTTGAATAATAAAGTTGTATGATAGTGAGTGTAATAAAGATAAAGGATTTGTATGTTTTACGGAAGTAAGAATTTATAGAAAAGTTTAAAATGATAAGGAGGGATAAGTATAAGTGATATGAAAAGAATGTGAGAGCCTCAAGGAAAAAGGAAATGGAATAATTAAAGTAATGAAGTAAAGTTTATGATAGCACCAAAGATTTATTGAAGATGAGAGATGTGAAAAATGAATAGTAGAGGTGTACACAGTACCTTATCTCCTTGTGCAATGAAAATTCGAGGACGAATTTTCATATGGGGGAGAGATTTGTAATATCCAAAAAATACGGGTTAGTGACTATATTGTAAAACTTCAGAATTTGGTGACTAAAATAGAATAATTGAATAGTATTGTTATGGGTATAGGGTTAAATTGCATGGAAGAAGGAATAGAAGGATAAAATGGTCATTTATATGGGAAATAATTAAAGAATATATATATATATATATATATATATTAGCTCCACGTGGAAAAGAAGAAGGAAAAACAAGGTTCCATAATTCTCTTTTTCTTCTCTTCTTTTCTCTCAAACGTAAAGAGGTCAAGCAAAGGTGAGATTTTTCATAAGCTGATTGTTAGTTAAAATTTAAGTTAGGGTTTGATTATTAGAAGATAACTAAGCTTAAGGAAAGCTTAGATTATCTTAAAATCCAAAGATGATGAGTACATGAAAGATTAAAGAAAGGAGGTAGAAAAGTAAAATCTTGAAATAGAGTTCATAATAAGAATTAGAAGTGAGATTTGACTTGTCATCAAGCTAATTAAGGAATAGGAAGTATTAGAATTAAAATTAGAACATGTTGAAATTTGAGTGAAATTCTTAAATTCTATATGGAGAATTGGATTTCTAAGTTTTAGAGGTATTGAATGGATAATAATTAGTTTAAATAAGAGTATGTAAGTTAGGGATATAAAAAGAGGTGAAATATAAAGTGTTGAGAAGATTATAAAGAGATTTTCGTGCTTAAGATGACATTTCTGGGCTATGTACATGGAAAATAAAATTCATAGAATTAATAAAGAAAATATTAAAAAAATCAGGAAAAGTAAATTACACTTAGTTGTCCCTAAGTTCTAAATTATAATTAAATATTATTTTATTGTTGGATAATTATATTTAATAGTTTATAACATGAAATAATAATAAATTTTAATAAACCTATCAAATGATTTTAATGATTAAAAAGAATGTTATTCTTTCTTAGACTCAAGCTTTAAGTAACTATATTTAAAGAATGTACAATGTCGAAGATTATAAAAAAACTCTTGTAACCACTTTTTATATATTCATGGAAAATTCAACCACTTAATCAATGATGGAACTATGTATACTTTGGGCGGACTTTTGCTCGCCCAAATTTTTTATTACTAAAAATAAATAAAAACAAATATATATTTAAACTTTTTATATATTTAAACCTTTTATATATTTAAACCTTTAAATTTTAATTTATTTTGATTTTGTATTTTCTAATTTTGTTGTTAATTATATTTTCCCCGAACTATCTTGCTGTTGCATCCTGCACGTTAATCTTTTACAACAGAATTCTTCAAATTCATAACATAAACTCAAAACACAGTTCGTTGTAAAGACTACAATTCATCCAACTCTTTGTTTGTTTCCCACAACTAAATTTCCACACAAAAAATGAAAGTTGTAAAATAAAGAGTTTATAGGCAAGAGTCAATACCCAATCACTGAGAAGCCACTGTTTGTCGGTTGACGAACGGAAATCTGAACCGGAAGTGGTCGGCCGGTACCAGAACCACCGCACCTTCTTCACACCATGCGATCCGACCCGGAGCAAGTCCGACAGCCGACATCTCCATCGGACCAACGAGAACAAATGCACGAGATGCGACCCGTGCCGTTGCAAGTGGGGCATCACTGAAACGGGCCGGCCATGGGTTTTTGATTCATGACTGATTTGACTAAGACGGCGCCGGCCAAGACGCTCAAGCCGGATGCCACCTGAGTCAAAACAGCCGGGAACATGTCGCCGGATAAGTTTTTTATTTACCAATCCAACGGGTTATGAGCATTGAGAGGAAGAAGAAAGAAACTAATAGCCGCCAAAGAAAATATAAAATTGAGTGATCAAAGCGAAAAACAATTCAGATTTTTTTGAGAAAAATTAAAGTTAATGGTTCTGAATTTTAAGTAAAAATAAATAAAAGTGGTTTTCCAATTGTACATGTTAAGCCTCTAGCATTTTGGTGGTGCATATGCGTGGTTGGACTTTTCATAATTATTGTGATATAGACACAAAATGATCGACATACAAGTATATTTATAAATATTTAATTATATTTTTAATACGTTTGTTTCTTTTATTGACTTTTTATTCACAAATTAATCTTTTTTTTAATACAAAGAAGGGGTAAAGTATCAAGCAGCAGTAGCTAGATCATTAAGCAGAAAGGGGCGAACAGCATCAGGTGGACAAGAAAACCTGGTTGCACCAAATGGGAGTGTCCTCGAGACTTTGGGCATGGCATCAGCAGTGCGGTTTATAGCGCGCTGGACATGAGAAAAACGAAGCTGCCAATTCCGAGAAAGAAGATCAATCAAGTGAGGAACCAAGTGGGAGATTCTCGCCATATTTTTGCCGTTTTGGAGAAGATCAAAGGCTTCCTTGAAATCTGTTTCGACCATAACATGCTGCAAACCGAGGTCCCAGGCCACCTTTAAGACCTTGTAAATTCCCCATAATTCCGCATCAAGCATCGAACAACGATCTAGCGTCTCGCAAAACCACTCACCCAGCTGCCGTTTGAATCACGTAAAATTCCACCGCAAGCTGCTGCGCCGGTATGGGGTTCCGGGCTCCGTCCGTGTTTGACTTCATCCAGCTAGGAGCAGGTAAAACCCAGCTATCTTCTGACTCCTGCGAGATAGGCCTTCTAGCCATATGTGAACCTTGCAGACCAAGGAAATGGGCAGCATCAGCACACATTTTACGACTTCGATTTGTAACACACACGGTCTCCACAAACTCAGGATCGAAAATAAATTTATTCCTTCGGATCAAAATACACCATAAGTTCAACCCGAAAAGAATGTCCCAATCAGTCCCATTAATCGGAAAATAAGAGTGATCTTGAATATTTATACGAATCCAATCAATGAGATCCATACAGCAGAATTCCATCAGCTTCTCTGGCTTAATAAGATTCACCCATGTGGTATAAAAAGGCATGCACTCCCGGAATATATGGGAGAGGGATTCCACCCCTGAACCACAAAAATCGCAACAAGGATTATCAGAAGTATTGCGACGAGACCTCTCTTCATTCGTCAACAACCGATTCTTGCATATAAGCCATATGAGCATTTTGAAGCGAGGCAAACCTCTATAGCGTTTCAGACTTCCCCATAGACCAGAATCATGGGATTGCACTTCACCGACCCTTCGTCTATAAGCAGACGCAGTGAAAAATCTGCGATTTTTTGTCCATTTCCAGCGGATACAGTCCACCCCATCCGTGAGCAAAGGTGGTTGAACAATAGCTAGAGAAAGCAATAGAGAATTTGGTAAGAACGGTCCATTGCTCTCCCAATGCCACTCACCATTCTCATCTACCATGGAACACACCCTAGTTGGTGGGAAACTAACATTCGAAGTCGATAAGCAGTGATTAATTAGAGCACCATCATCTCCCAACCAATCATCTTGCCAGAAATTAACAGTTGCACCGTTACCAAGAATCCAGGTGAGACCATTAATAACTTTCGGCGACACTTTACACAACCCTCTCCAAAGACGAGAGCAACCATTACGGTCGAGGTTGACAAGAATACCATACCTTACCTTGTACTTACTTCGCAATACTCGGACCCATAGTTGATCTTTATTAGAAAAAAATATGGTATCATAATTTCATCAGAAAAGCTTAGTTTTGGGCCACCATACGCCTTACTCCAAAACTCAACACACAAGATTAACTCGTTTCTTCTCATCGGAATGTCTCCAAATAAACTCTGGTCAACTTTTCAACCTCACTACAAATCCCTTTGGGAAGATAACAAGATTGCATAACGTAGGCCGGTATCGAATTCGGGACAGCTTTTGCAAGAGTTACCCGACCGGCAAGAGAGCGTTTTTGCTTTCCATCCGGTAAGCCTATCCCGAACCTTTTGGATAAGGTAAATATAGGTGTCCCAGGTTACTCTTTTATGAAGTAGAGGAACCCCAGATATTTCCCAAGATCCTCCACCCTCGAGAAGAGAAACCCCTCACTAATATCTCGGGCAAGTGCTTCATTCACATTAGACGAAAAGAAAATGTTAGCTTTTGCATGACTAACCTTCTTCTCTGAGCTATAGCAAAAATCACGGACTACTCGTAGGATTACATCAAGTTGAGACAGAGAAGCTTCCACGAAAAACACCAAATCAGCTGCAAAGAATAGGTGGGATAATCTCGGGATAAAATCATCGGTTTCCAACGACCATTGTTAACCTCCACCTGAATTGCCTGAGCGAGACATTTCATACACAAAACAAACAGATATGGAGATAAGGGGTTTCCTTGACGGATACCCCAAGTAGATTTAAAGGAATCAGAAGCAGTGTCATTCCATAAAACCTTAGTTGTAACCGTGGAGACACAACACATTATGAGTTGCGGGAGATCATTAGGACAGCCGAATTCGTTGAGTGTCATCAATAAAAGACCATTCTAAATGGCCGTAGGTTTTTTTACAAGTCTATCTTGATAGTCATACACCCCTTTCTACCTTCCTATATCGCATAGAATGAACTACCTCCTGAGCAATAACAATAATATCCATTATGCTCCTACCAGGGACAAAAGTCATTTGATTCTAATAAATCAAATGAGAAAGAATGTTCTTGAGCCGAATGACTATCACCTTAGTAATAAATTTATACGGAGCAGTACATAAGCTTATTGGTCTAACATGGGCAAAAGTATCTGGAGCTTCAATTTTCGGAATTAAAGCAAGAAGTGTTATGTTCATTTCAACCGATACAGATTTATGTTGAAAACAATCTCGAACCAGCTGGCAAATATCGGCGCCCACTACATCCCAATTTTGTTGGAAGAAACCAGCATAAAAACCATCAATCCCCGGAGCTTTCGCCAGGTCCATGCTGAACACAACTTGCCTGATTTCCTCGGTTGAAATAGGAGCGGACAACAAGGTTATGTCACCATTAGAGATAGGAGAGAAATGACCACGGATGTTATAAGTGTAACCCGTCTTGCCACTGCTCGAAAAAAGGGAAGAAAAGAAATTAACTGCCTGCCTGCAGAGCTCCTGATGATCATTGTGTCATAACCATATTTTAGGTAAAATAATTATATATTATTTTTAAAAAAAGTTACGACTTTAATATTAAAAATTTTGGTATTTTGGATTAATTGAGTTAGGTAAGTCGAATACCTAAAAATGTCTTTTAAAACAATTTTAAGGAAAAATCGTTATTGAGACAAAAAATTGGTCTGCGTTACCAAAAATTCATTTAAAACGGGTTCGGGAGTCGGTTACGCGTGGGGAAGGATTAGCACGCCCACAGCGCATAAAATTGGTACTGAATCGCTTACACGTTGTCATAATTGGTGGAGATTATGAATCGAATATAAAGTTAAAATATGATCACTTTATTAAAGTTAATTAATTTTCTTCAAATCAATTAATTAGAGAAAATTCTTTAACTTGAAAAGAAATCTCGATATTAGTAATCATCCGTCGGGAAATCTATTTCGACTATTTCTTATCCGTGAAGAATATTCACTCTTCGATAAAACACGAATCGAATATAAATTGAAAACCGACATTTTGCATACAACAAAATAAATTTTGATTTACTTTATCATACATTACACTATTTGAAATAACACAAATTAATTAGCGCAAAAAAATAACTTCGATTTATTTCAAGCTCTCATTTTGTTCGAACGTCGTATCAGATTGCAACAGTTCAATCAAGTGATACTTTCCACGCGTATTCTACAAGTACAGTTCTTGAAAATATTCAAGCAAATGACATTTAACAAACTATTAAATAAAATAGCATTTAATAAAAAGTTAAAAAATATGTAACTTTACTACATAAAATGTATAAATATCTATACACATAAACATATATATAAATATTTAAAATGGCATAACATGCATAATAATGTTTATAAAAAAATACATACACCGATCTTAATGTGTGAGAAATCTAAATCTACGGGAGAAATCTAAAATCTAAATATTCTAAATAGGGACCAACTTGAAAGAAATCTAAACTTAAGGGTTCAATCTAAAATCAAGATAACTAATGTAAAATTCGAAAGCTATTTACAAAAAAAAGGATCAAACATTATGCATCAAATTAAAATAAACGTTATGTAATTAAACTAATGAATTTTGTTGAAAATATTTTGATATTTCAATATAATAAATTAAGGGTTATTGAATTTTAAGATTTCACAATCATTTTTAAAGTATATTCGATTAAATTATTCGAATATCAAAATATTACTCCAAGATTTTCAAAGATCAATTTCAATCCTTACTAAAGTGTAAAATTGTGTTTTAAACTTAAAATATTTTTGAAACAATTTTACAAAGTATTTCGAACCAAAATCAATCCAAAAATTAATTTTCCAAAGGGATGTACCGATGCACTCCATGATGTATCGATGCACACCCATTTCGAATGCATTTTGTGTACCGATGCACAAGTCATGCATCGATGCACTCTTAAATATTTTGAAATATCGAATGCATTTTATGTACCGATGCACAGACCATGCATCGATGCACTCCTGGCTCTTTTGAAACATTGAATGTAATTAGTGTACCGATGCACCCCTAGTGTACCGATGCACTAAGTCTTATAACGGTCGAAATATTTGAATTTTACACATAGTGTACCGATGCACTCTGTTAGTGCACCGATGCACACACGCTCCCAACTGTTTTATTTAATTATTTTCACACAATAAGGGCTCTATTGACTTCACCAATGATCCCCAACATTCAGAAGTGATCCAAGGTGTGTTTAAACAAGCTTAGGAGCCATTTATCAACAACAATTGTGAGAGAAACAAAGAGAAAGCTTTAAACATCAAGTTTGAGCAAATCAAGCCAATTTTCATTCAATATTAATTTTTTGCTTTCAAGAACACCATTTGTACTCAATTGTATTCATTCTTGAGTGTTCTTTCTTTGTTCTAGAATTGTGCAAACATATTGCCTTGTGAGGTTTTTCTGTAAGTTTGCAAATTTTTGTATTTGTCTTTGGGAGAGAGTGTTCTCAAGAATTTGGGGTATAATTCTTGAGGGAGTTGTAAGGTTACTCTTTGTCCTCAAAAGAAAGAAAAAATTAGAGAATTTGTTGGAAAATCCTTAGTGTGGATAGCTAAGGTAGTGAATGTAGACTTTGGTTGAGAAAGTCAAACCACTCTAAATCGTTGTGCAAATATTTTCTATTTTCTGCAAAAGCTTCCACCAAAAGTTTAATTGCCAATTCACCCCCTCTTGCCTATTTTGTCGATTGATTAACTCAACAATTGGTATCAGAGCCTCACTCATTTGAAGGTTTAATCGCCTCTTGAATCGATTCGAGAAGTGTTATATCAATATTCAAGTCATCAATGGCCTCCACTTCAAACTCCAACTTCGGCCTTGATTCTATGCCTGTCAACAAGCCTCCTTTTTTCAATGGAGCTAATTATACTTATTGGAAGAATAGAATGAGATATTTCATTC